TTTTTCGCAGTACTAAATAAAATTAAACTCCCCCTTTCACACACACACACACACACATATACACATACACACACGGATAATATGCTTTCGCACGTAACTCATCCAAGAAAAGGTAACACCTGAAATAAACATAATCAAATAAGCCTGAAAGCGGTAAGCAAACAACTTGTCGTTCGGTGAAAATCAAATTTCAGTTCTTTCTTTCTTTCGTCATGTTGGCAATGACAGCTAAAGTTGGCCATAAAGGATTTACACGCATGTAAACAGGCGGCTGACTAAAATATGTAAAGTGCTACATCAACATGCGCACTTGTAGGACCTGAGAGGAAGGAGGGTGTTTTTGGGGGGTGGCACACTCACTGGGGAATGAGATCTCATCGGGGCATTTTAAAATTTGTTGTCGCTTTTGTTTTCAGTCGTTTAGTGGGCGGCAAGGGCATGGCTGTCACTGCCGCACGAGCGCCTCGGGCGTGCCCTACTTGACAGCTCGACGCCCGTTCCTGTTGAGAAGCAGGCGGAGCCACACCAGGCAGGGGGAAGGTTCACATTTGAGGGTTGAGGGCTGCGTGCCTGGCCAGCCTTGTTAAACATTCGTCACTGCCTCAGTCGACATCACTTGGTGATGTGTTTATTATGTGCCTCTAATATATTTATGAGCGCGTTATAAACGCATTTCCATTTTATTTGTATTTGGCCCGCTGCTGCTTCTTGATGTTTTCCTGCCCTTCACATCCATCGTTTACTGTTGTTGTTGTTCTCTGTTTGGCTGATATGATGCGCTATTATTTATGATGGAAGAACACCCAGAGGTATTTTTGGCTTACTCAAAAATTTGATTTTAAATTCATGCTGACATTGCATATAAGCATTTAGTGCCACCTTGTCAAGTTTATTTTGCAGCAGGCGTTGGGTCCAAGCGAATATTTATCATACGCTCCGTGGTCGCTCTGAAAATGTATGCGAAATACGCCGGGCATTTGCATAATTTATATGCTCTTAATTCTATGAATTTATATTGCAACTTTAGTCACCATAGGCTTTAACCTATGTTAAATGCGCAACTTATGGAGTTGCAAAGATTTTCTACAATACTCATAGTACGGAATTGAAAAATTTACTTATTATAAAGTTCTGAGCTTAGCCATCTCAATGAATAAACTGATTTAATTTGAACCAAGCCTCTGTTATACGTAAAAAATGAATTCGAACTCGACATTCAGTTTCTCATATAAATCAAAGCATAGTCAACATCCCTAAATATCTATATGTATGTATATATGTATAAATATATATATTTATATATATATACATACATACATACATATACATATATATGTATATATAATATATTTCTTTTGCAAATATCTGCTTTGTAACTTCGGTTAAATGAAAAACATATGAACTTGAAAAGACTTTAAAAAATATCTATGGTATGCTAATTAAAGCATCTTTGAATTAAAACTGGATTTACCATCTAAAACATCTTGTGCACCGACAATTTTTCTGAATTTTGTATTTATGTGAAGGAGAAGCTTACGACTTTTTGGGAAATCTTATTTAATTATTATTACATTTAATTTCATATAAAATAAGCCATAAGTTTTATACACATTATGAAAATAATATTAAATAATTACTCGATGGTTTGGTTTGTATATCTAATAATTTGAAAGAAAATATATATTCTTACAATAAATCTTTCCAAATTAAATTTCCACGTATGCATGTAATTCAATTAATTATTTTAAAAGAAAAATATAGCGTTAGAGCGCCAGCTGTCTGAAATGAATTTATAATTGGCAACAACTCAGCAACAGGCAGCACGAAAAAGAGCATATGGCATTTAACTCACGTCTAGCTTATGCCCTCAGCTGGTCTGGCAGGCTGCTAGATGATTGGGAGAGAGAGCCACATCTACTTAATTGGGGCTTAAGACTGCAAAATGCAGTCACTTTCTACACACCAACACACCAATAGCAGCAGCGGAACTGTGAGAAATGAGCCAGCAAAGCGTGAGACAGACAGCACCTAAGTACACACACAACCCACACACTTACACACGCACAGGTAATGACTGCTCTTATGATTCTTAGGCTATTCCCGAACCAGGGAATGGATTGCCACGAATTGGCCTTAAAAATGCCCGCCGCTAATGACATGGATATGGACAGGAGCTAACAATGACAAGCTCTCGTCATATATGTATATAAAGTACTGCGGGTGTGCTTATCAGTATTTATGTGTGTGAGTGTGCAAGAAATTGAGGTCTTTCAGCGAACAAATTAGGAGCATTAGTCGTTGTAGCGACGGGGGCTGGACGTAAAAGGCAACCAGGATAATGACCAAGTGCAGCGCGACAAAGTGCTGTTATTAGTAGAGACGCCGTTGTCATTGGCATTTTCTGGTTTTAATTGATTTAATCGGCTTTTCCTATTCGCCTGGCTGGCAATACGTAACCGCCTGGTAACACACATATGCACACATACGCACCCAACCAACTCACACACAACCCCCAGTGCTGAGACGCTGACTGCTCATTAAAAATGCTTTGTTTTGCTATGTGTTTTTTGCGGCTCTTCCCCCCTCCGGCTCCCTTCGCTCGCATCGCTCATTTCCGCTCTATTGGCGTATAAACAATTTTTGCGCATTAATTGAATTGCTCTGTTTGTGTGTGCGAGTGTGTGTGTGTGTGCGTGTGTGTGCGTGTGTGCAGGCATGCGTGGGCGGGTTTGTGTGTGTGACATGCATAAGCCAAATTAATTGTCCTCTCGTTTCGCACAGCATCATAGCAAAAAAAAAAAGTCGAGTTTTACGCCCTTTGCTTGCTTAGATTTATTTATTTGCTCCCTTTTTTCTATATTTTATCCATTGTTTACATGCAACAAAAGCCATTGGCCCTCTAATGAAGGTTTAATTAGCTAACACACGCACCCACACACACACACACACACACACATACACACACACACACACACACACACACACACACTTTGGCACGCATTATTTTAGAAGCCATTTCCTGCGCTGCTATTTTTATATGTGCCACTAATTCCTCTTTTAATTAGTTTATTTGGCACGTTTTGTGTGATTGATTGGTTAATTCAATTAGCTGAACTCGTTGCCTTGGCACTTTCACGCGACAAGCGCCAGCTGTGAAAGGATTTTTGCCAATTGGACAATTGAAACGTTTAAAATAAATATATGGCCCAATTAGTCAATGGAATGCCATGCTTCCTGCGATGTACTCATGGTTTATTCGAGAGAGGTTAACGGGGAAACACGCTGATTTCTATAATTATCATATCACATACACAAATTTTCTACATCGGTTACGGCAATTCGAAGCTGAGATCATTCTTTCGCGGGTTGAATGACTTTCCACTGGGATGCACGGCCTCTAAAGCAAATATCAGTCGACAGGCTAACTTTCATCACTATTTTCTGAATTTTAGATGGGATCAAAATATAAGTTTGCATTTCTACTTCTTAGAATTATTTTCTTTTATCGTTATACCCTGAACACATTAATAATGGTCAAAAAGGGTAAAATGGGATTGTGCAAAAGTGTGTAACACCCAGCAGGAAGCATCTTCAACCTCAAAGAATATATCTTGTTCAATATCAATTGCCGAGTTGAATATGCAGATCTCAGAGACTGTGAAAGGTAGAGACTCCGGAATTTGAATAAGAGTTCTCGTATACCCCGTGCACTTAAGTAAAAAGTTTAGTTGATATATTCGTCAAAAAACACATCCTCATTCACATATGTATGTGGGGACGATGTGGTTACAAATTTGTTCGGATGATTTCAAATTTAAAATTTTATACAAGTGAGAGGGTATCGAATCTATTTTTTCATTGATTAAAATAAGAACGAAGTGCTAGATATAATAGATTTGGATGCATGTATATTATCATGATTCTAAGTAACACAAACATTGAATTAAAGTTTATTTCGAGGTTTTGCTGATGGTGTACCTTAAAAACTTCTTAATGGTGGTAACGCTATTCGCATATAAGCTGAGCTGGGAACTCAACCGCATGACCCAAGCCACATCAAAGTTAAAGCCTTTAAACCCTACACGGCCTATCTTAAAATTCACAAGTCCAGCTCATCGTACAAACACATGTACACTTATATTGACTGAGTGTGTGTGTGTGTGTGTGTATTTTGTGGGTGACTTAACCAAGAAAACCACAGCAAATAACTGTGCACATTTTTTGGGTTTTTGGGACCAAGCAAAACACAAAACAAACCGAGAGAGATGAAACATTTTTAAGCCTTTAGCAAGCGGGTTGACAAATAAAACACCTGCCACAACACAGATGCCACTGACAGCCAGAAATGAGACGCAGCCACAGCCGCAGCCGTTGCTTTTATTCTAGTCAGGGGGGGGAGAGGGTGTGGTTTGGGTAGGGGCTACCTGCGGTTAATAATTGCAAAGCGCCAAGAGCCGGATATGGGACACGGGCAACGGGGCGTTTAAAAACTTGTCACTCATGTTCAAGAGTGCCGTGAAAAAAGCACGTGGAGGTGGAGGCTGGACACAATAGCGGCGCTCAGATGGCCTTAAGCGCCGTGCGGGCTTATTGATGGCATGCTCGGCAATTTCATGGCCTGCTTGTTGTTTTAAATGGCAGACGTTTAATCCAACCCCCTGCTTCCTCTCCCATCCCTCTCGCTGTAGTGAACTGGAGATTGCTTTGTTCAAAATGTTTGCACACGCTTTGCATATCACAGTTTTTAGATACGTACACACACACACAGTAACACCCTAAACAACACACTAAATATGTGAGGTTGTGTTTGGCTGCGATATTCATATTGAAATTCAAATTCAATTTCCTGCCAGGTGCCGAGGAGATCGCGCACTTTTGAATAAATTTCACATGCACTAATTTATTAGCATTTCCGCGTATGTTTATTTTTTCTGTTTTATATGTTTTTGGAAATTCAACCTTTGCAACCTTTATAACTTGTTGTGTTTGTGCCGTTACAGGATCTACAATCGGAAATTGAAACCCATCGCGTTGTTTACGATCGTCTCGATGGCACCGGCCGCAAACTTTTGGGTTCGCTCACCTCACAAGAGGACGCGGTTATGTTGCAGCGTCGCTTGGATGAAATGAATCAACGTTGGAATAATTTAAAATCGAAAAGTATTGCAATCAGGTAAGTGTTTTTTGCCTCAGACCTTTTCACATTCTCGTTTTTGTTGTTTTTGCTGCAGTCTGTCTGAATGTTTCCGTAGTTAGGATGTATCGCTGAATTCAGCCGGATGCTGATGATGATGATGATGATGGTACTCAAACCACATCCGAAAAGTGTTTCAAGTTGCTTTTGCCGGTTGTTGTTCGGCATTATTATTGCTGTTTTTAAAGGGGCTTGCTATTGAGTGTCGGCTTGGGAATCATGAACAAAGACCGCTTTTTAACTAGGCCATGCTGAACATGATAAATGCGCACAAATTGAAACAATGCGGAAAATATTATAAATCATTCAAGTTATAAATACCTATACAAAATACCCAATCAATTATAAAACACAACAAAATAGACTCCCCGCAGAAAGTCATTGGCTTAAGAGGTATAAGAGGAAGGGAAATATGTGGACTAAAATTAAAGTGCATTAACCCAACAGCTTATGAGCCGTGGATTGATGTTAGCAAGATATAATATATAAGCCTCAGATGAATGAAGAGACAAACTCTTCGAGCTAAACGCATTAATTTAAAAAATAATAAGAAAAATGCCCAAAACTTCTGGGGTTTTTTAAATGAAAAATTGGTCCAATATTTGTTGCATTGATAAAGGAAAGCTCAGTGAAAACCTAATCTGAGCAAAATGAAAAAAGTTAGGAAAAATTTTGTTACGATGACTAAACACCAATGCATCCGAGCTATTAGGATATTGAATTATTAATGATGGATATAAAGGACTCTGAATTGATTACACTATAAAGTCAATTGTAATTGTTATAGAGTACTCGAAAAGATTCCTGTAATACATTATTTAGTAGTACAACGTTTAAGAAAAACTGTAAACAAGTAACATGACATTCTAGCAGGAACTGAGGAATTTGTACCACTTTGTCTAATTGATTCCACGTATAGCTTTATTTTATTTATTTTATGTTTTGTGTTCTTAAAAGTTTGATATCAATTTGATATTTCCAATGAAGCATTAACAAAAAATTAGCCAAGTGAAAACTAATCGAATTACTCTTCAAATACTTATTTTTAAAGTATTCCTGAAACTATATTTTGTCAAATTTACAATTTTTAAGAAATTAGTAATGATGCTTCTGCATCTTCTTTGCAATCCTAGTGGTTGATTTACCAACCTACGTTTATTTCGGCTTCCCATCCGTTGAGGGTTAAATTGAAAGTAAAACAAGGCCTAGTAGTAACTTAACTTGTCATATTCACAGAATATCCTTACTGACTAGCCAGTTCTATTTTTGTCGAGCTTGTCGAATTATCAAAAGTTTTGCAGAAGCAGCCACTTAACACGTTTTAAGCAGTAGTCAGTTCCAAGTTACGGACACTGTGTAAATGCCTTGCGAGCTGACGCGTTAATGAAACCAAATTAAATTCGAGTTGTGTGCCACGCGCTGCAGCCACAGCAGCTGGGTTAAAAGACTTTGTGTTGTCGAAAATGCGAAAATAGCAACATAAACAAGCCAGCCAAGCGGGTTGCCATTCGGTGGTGCCAGACAGAACGCAACATAACACAACACTCTCCGCCCAGCCAGGCAGAAAGCTTCATGTAAACGCGAAGAACCCATCAAACAGCTTCGGATGGTGGTTGGGCAGACAACCAATGAAAATCAATATAAGCGAAACGCGTGAAAAGTTCCGGAACTGACTGAACTGACACCGACCCAACACTGTGTCACTGTTTTGATGTGCCACAATGCTGACAGAAGACCAACCCAGCCAACAACACGATGAAGTCCAGGGTAAAAACGCGTTGGCTTTTTCTCTGGTCCAGTGTTTGTAATTTCCACATTTCATAAATAAAGCACACCAGCGTATACAAATATTGTCCGCTTGTTGATATTGATGCTGGCGATGGACAGAAGCTGAAGCTGATGCTGATGCTGATGTGGGCCAAAGTCAGGCAGTCGACGATGTTTACTCGCTCAACAGGGCTGGTGAAGAGAGGGGCAGTGCTGTGTAAAATGAATAATGATGATGACACGCGAAAAGCGCTGAAAAACAAGCGAACGCAAAATGAATATAAATGGCAATTATGTGGCCGAGTCTGGGGCTGTGTCTGTGGACCCTATGCGCACAAAAGTAGGCAACCAGATTGAACGTCCTCTTGGAGCGCTTTTCAATTAGGCCGCAAGAGCTAACGAATGACACCTTAAGTGTGTCCGAAATGTTTGGCCATGCTCAGCAGCAGCCCCCCTGTGACGCATTTTTTGTTGGCCAAGTTTTGACGATTATTCTTTGTCAGTTCGGAGACGCTTTCTATTTATTTTCATTGTTGGCGTTTTGGCATATTTCCGTTAGCCAAGTTTGTGCACTTCCGATATTGTTGTTGGCAATGCCGTTGTCGTTTGGCCAGCAGCAGTTGTTTTTTTGGTTGACTTTGTTTGCCTTGGCTCTACTTGTTGTTTGCTCAACTACCAAAGATTTGCTAGCTTATAAATTCCAGTGAAATATCTTGGACAGCACTTGAAAAGTTTTGCTCTCGAAGCTAAGCTGACTTGTTTGTATTAGCCGCAGCACTTGGGCAATCGCCTTGGGTCATTTATGTGCATAGTTCTTGGCTTTGAACTTTTCATCCTTCCGCATATTGCATCCATTCTCCCACTGTTTCACTTCCTTGCCATAGTCAAACTTAACTTTTGTCAAGTTTTTTTTAATGTTTTTTGTGGCATCTACAGGTGTTCCAGTTGCAACACATTCTTTGGCTGCCACTGCTGATTGCCGTCTTGAGTTGCGCGAAGATTGATGAACCCACTTGATATACTATATATAAAATCCATGTGGGTGGTGTCATGTGCGGTGGTTGCGATGCGTGTGGTTTGTCTTAAATTACATTTGGGAGACCCACAACGGGCGGAATCCGAAAAATTATGAGGGTTGAAATACATATTGCAAGCCGAAAGCGAGCTGAAATGATGTATACGAAAGTATTAGAATACTCAATCAACGTATTAAGCACTGACAGATCTGCAAAATTACAATATTTATTCTCTTGTCTGTTATAAATGGATGATGAAAACAGTTTCCTAAGGCTACAAAATGAATACAGAGCTTTAACTTCACTCAATCGAATTATATCCTTAAGAATTTATTAGCTACAACTTAAATCATTTCGAAATAATCTTGCCTCACGACAGAAAAGCTTCACGTATTTCAAATATCCAAATAGCATAAGTGTGGAATGGCTCAGAACATTTTGATTATTCAGCAAGCACTGGGGAAGAGTATGTCTTATCTTTCAAAGTATTTAAAATTTAATGATGAGACTAATATAACGTAACATAGGATTTAAGTCGGCTCAATTTTAAATTAAAGACGAAAATTTGTCTTGAATTCAATAAGGCAGCTTTTGTTTTGTTATTTTAATGAAATATTTCTCATTTCCTAAAAATATAAAGAAGACGCAATGCATTTCCAGTTCACATGATTTTGTTCCGCCTGTGCCCAGATCATTTGCCAGCAAAATGTGTTTCTCGCTCTAATTGTGTCTGCAAAAGTCAGAGACAGAAGCTGTCGAAAATAAAAATAAAATATATTTAATAAAGAAATCTAACATGGCACTGCCAAACGTTGTGCAAAAAAGAAAAAAACAGAACTGGGTATAAGTACAACGCAAAAAAATATTATATATATAAGAAAACAACAGAGATAATGAGCAAGACAAGAAGATTTTAATACATTTCATTGCCCAATCATATTTTCGAAGAAAGTTATTCCATTCATTATTTGAATGGACGAAAAGCGAAAGTGGGCGTAACTTGAGCAGCTGCACGAAAGTATAACCCATGTATATATGTATGTATATATAATACTGTACGTATGCCTGAATGTCTGGGCATGACTTCTATTCCATGCCTTAATTACAAGCGAAGGCGAACTATAAAAATAATAATAATGAAAAGGAGCCAAGGAATTTGACCAAAGATAAACAGACAAAAGCACAAAGCGATGCCTATTGTTATTGCAGAGTTCCCGTGGATGCAGATTTTTCAGAATTCTTGAACCCAACCCCTCATCCCACCCACCACTCATACACAATGGGGTCAAAATATGGCAGCGATGTGGCCAGGAAAGGACGCTGTTTTGGCCATATAAAATGAGAATAAAATGCCAGGGTGTCTCACAATTAGAGCGACAGCTCAAATTCAACATAGACGACAGCCACTTGGGTCGACTGCGACCCTCGGGCGCGGCAACGGAGGGTTTATTAGAGAACCGCCCCATCTCACCCCAAACCCGACATCCAGCCAAAGGAACGGAAGCAGACAAATTGTCGCTGGCATCATGCGGTCGTTGCCATGCTTCTTGATAATCAACACAGCCGCTTGCGACTTGCCTGTGTTGCAAAGTGCCAAATTAAATTTAATATTATCATAACGCTTATATTTGCCGTTTGTAGCATACTTGTCACCGACTTCTAACCCGCGCCGTATTCTTTGCCTTTGCTTGCAGAAACCGTTTGGAATCAAATTCGGAGCACTGGAATGCGCTGCTTTTGTCACTCCGCGAACTAACCGAATGGGTCATTCGCAAGGATACGGAGTTGAGCACCCTAGGCTTGGGTCCAGTACGTGGCGATGCGGCCAGTCTACAAAAACAGTTGGTAAGTTTAAGTTGAATAGAATTAGATAATAAATGCACTTTAAACTTGTTAAGTGCTATATTCATTTAAGAGGTTAAATAATATTTGAATAATCCAATTTGGGTTTCGAATTCAAATCATTAAAAAAAATATGTGAATAACATTTTAATAAATTTGCTAAATATTGTAACAACTTTCATAAATAAATGATAATTTTGGCTGAAGGACGATTCTTTAAATATATTATGAAATTCTATTCTGAAAAAAAGACTTCTGGACTTACTTATATTTACACATGTGAAATGCTATGAGTGATTTTTTTTTAACGGGGAAAGTTCGTCAAATACACAGAGAAAAAAGAATCATAGTTCTGAATGTTCAGATATTTGAAATGATTATTACTGTTTACAAAATACTAACATTTTAGTAAGACAATAATAACAATTATTCTATTCTTTATAAGGTTGACTTATTTTAATAATCTAACTTTCACGTTAAGAAAATCAAGTCAATAAACAATAAAAATAAGGAACATTTACTGTTAGTAAAAATTAGTCAATATTAAAAAGACAATTGCAAATTTTCTATATACATCATTTTCTAAATCGCTTAAAGATATTCTTAAACTTATAATATTGGTTACAGGCCGTTAAAAAGTTTATCTGAAAAATCCAGTGCCATGGGATTGGATTTATCTATTTATGAATTTACATATTCCACATTGTGTGATACTCTTTTTATATTTGCTTCGGTATTAGGTCGTCAAAAAAAAAGAAAAGATTAAGCATACTTCTAAATAATGAAACGAGGGCAACCCATCATTAAACCATGATATATTTGATGTGATAAGATTATTTGATAATATTGCATATTCAGGATCTTTTTTGGCATCAGATATCCCAGTTTACTAGTAACACAACAGCTTGACTTAATATCAAATATTAATTTAGTTTTATTTTTGTTACATGCGGGCCTGCTCTCATGTTGCACCCGTTGAGTGCCCATTGGGTCAGCCAGGTCCTCAGCAATTATGTGTAGTATTTGTAATAAGCATGCCCTCAATTTAAACACAAATTTCACACTGCAGTTGGTGCCCATCATGAGGTTGCTGCTGCGATTGCTGCTGCTGCCCTCTGCTGTTTTTTGTGTGCTGCCAACGACCCAATTTTAACCTTTCTCATAGTCATAGCACTGGCTGCACCTCAATTTGCTCTACCAAACTAATTGTGTGGAAGGCTTTCCTCCATACAATTGCGGAGTGCTGGCATTTTGGGTGCCATTTCTGGCACAATTTGTAATTTTTCGCCTCGCTGTGTGTGTGTGTATCTGGGTGTAAGTGTGTGTGTGGGTGTGCTGGTATGAAGGGTCTCAGTGATTTAATGGCGCATAAAGTGGTTGGCAGGCCCATTTTGTGTGGCAGACATTTTTCAAGCTCGAACAAATATTTAGCCATAATTATTTGTCAAGCAAATCTCTCGCACACTTTATTCAGACTCAGCGAGATTAATATGAATTCCGCATTCGGCGCCGCATTCCAATGTTTAGTTTGTTTAGGAAAGTCTGTTAACTGCGATTTTAGCATAACTATTATGCACAAACAGAATGAACCCAGCTTATCACATTGGAATTGCATTTTATTCCTACTCAATCGCATCAGCATACAATGAAGCGGACACAGCTTATATTTATGTGATTGCACATAATATATTGCTTATGTATTTTTGATAAGTCCACTAAGCAGACACTATTATCTGCTTATAGATAGTTCACATTACACTCTAAGAAAGTTTCTTGTTAATTACAAATTGAGCCTTTGCATATCTTAGACAGCTCTCAATGATTAACGATATTGAAATCGCTCCACTATATCATTGCTTGCGTGTGTCTGTTCGACTAATATAAATGTTGTTGTTTTTGATACAAACCACAAAATGAGAAATACAACTTATCTTAAAGAACTTTATTTGAATTGAAAGTAAAAAATTGATATTTATCATAAAATTCCACAATCATTATACTGGTCAGCAACATTGTGTTTTTCTTCTCAAATCGCTTTACATTTCGGATGCAACTTGTCAAATGATTATTATTTAATATATTTCCATATTGAGTTTTTATAATAATTAACTTCGTATGTCATCTTCTGACTGGTTGTTGCTTCTCCAAATATTAAGAATGCTCTAGAGAGAGATATGCGTTGACTTACACAAATCCCATTCAACTAACTTCTTTTTAGAGTACAACTTTACTACACCTTCTCATATGATAAGTAAGTCAGCTGTTTTTAATACATGTGTCCGCTTGCAAAACCAACAATCAGACAAACATATTTTGAGGCAGAGGCATAAATTTACATTGAGAAACGACTACTTGGTTCGTTGCTTATAATCAGTTAAGTGTCGAGAAAAAATTCAATTTATTCAGGAAAGAAAATAAATCGGTTCGTGCACATATAATTTGTACTTGAGTGCTTGTGATGTGGATTATCAATGCGATTTGAGTCACACTCAATACTTGAATGTATCCATTAAATAATTCAACAGTTCCTGCGTCAATGTTTTTTATAGCCTCATAAGAATTGTGCTTTATACATTGCATTCGGTTTAGTTTTTTATGCATAGCAGTTATCGATTCCTCTCATGCCTGGTGCTCAAATCTTTATAACTGGCCAACTTGACCGAATTGCTTTGTTGAATTGAAAGTCCCACTTAGCCAAACTGCTCTAGCTGCGAATTCTTAAATAATTGTTAAATGATGCTTGTTATGTCAAAAACATTCACACTCACATGCAGCACATATGTACCATGTATGTATGTGCCGGAAATCACTTAAGGACTTGCCAAGGCAGAAAAAGAACCTAGCAGTAGAAATACCAGCGGAAGCTGTACTCGTGTCAGCAACAACAAGAGCCAGTTCTGGCCTGGCCAGTTGAAAATGGGGAAACACTGTCTAACACAGCGTGCACCACTTGAATTTCACTTACCCCTAGAACGCAGCCCCGCCGAGAGCTCAGCATAAAAATGGGGCAACTTTCACCCTTGGTTCCTGGCAGGCTCTGAAAATCTATTGCCTGCCACTAAGTTACGGTCTGCCGGACATTTACATTTCGGCTTGTGTAGTGTGGAGTATGGACTGGAGTGTGGAGAGTGGAGTGCCGAGTAAAGCCAACACTTGAGTTGTGGCACTAACAAACTCAGAAAAGAATTTGGCTTGTATTTCGTATTGCCTTTCATTTGATTCGCTGCCTTTGGCGATCTTTTTTTTATATTTTTACACTAAATGCATTAAATATGAAATTTATTGTTAGCTCTTCATGATGTTTTATTGGGGGGAGACACTTGAAACGCTTGCTCGTTTTGGGGCTTTCTCGGTCGAAAAGCAATTGCAATAGTATTATATATATGTAGAGCAAATAGTTTATGGAGGCCAGCAGCGGCACTCGTATTATTTGTCTCTGTATCAGATTGGGCCAAATAAATAAATCTTTTGCAGCATTGACAATTATAGTATATATATGGTATACATAGGGACGTTATAACATTTTATTTTATTTGCACAAGCAAAACAGTTTAAGCCAACCAAATCTCATTTCTTTTGTGTCCTGTCTCCGCTTGCAGGATGATCATAAAGCTTTTCGTCGTCAGTTGGAGGATAAACGCCCAATTGTTGAGAGCAATTTAACGAGCGGTCGTCAGTATATTGCCAGCGAGGCGCCCATTTCGGATACCAGCGATACGGAGGGTAAGTTTTACGGCATACCATTAAATTATTATGTATATATGGCGGATAGCAAGCCACCTCCCCCTCCCCCATCCCATCTACTATCCTTGCACATTAACTTTGACCACAAAAGTGACAATAAATTTTCAACTATTTAAAGTTAATTTGGGTCAGTCTTAAAATTTCGAATAAACTAGAAATACTTACTATAGCACTCTGCTTCTCCCGCCCTCTGTACCTTTCTCTCTTTCTCTCTCTCTGTCTCTGTCTCTCCCTGTGTACGCTTTAGTAACTGTTGGAAACCTATTCATTCCATTCTAACAGTAGCCAAACAACTCATCAACATTCAACAAATGCCATTCACAGCGCTTTCAATTTGTATGGCAAATCTCAAAATCAAACAGCAAACCAACATGTACGACTAAGAACTCGATTGTGCACTGGCCCTACAAGCTTAACAGTTGACCAAACCACTAAAGCACACACCCCTCACCCAATCACACACATACACCCACTCCCACACAACCACATGAATAGAGAAGCACCCGTAAAGTTTAGGGCACGTGAGGCGCCTAAAAGTAGACAACTGCTGTGCGGCTGGTGCGGAATTGCCAATTGATTTTGTTGCATTGCATTTCCCTTTTTTTCTTTCGGTGTATTTAAGGCTTAGTTCTTTTTAACTATAGCCAACAATTTGGAAAATGGTTGCCTTCGGTTTTGGGTTGTTTTCATTTACAGCATTCACAAAACGGCGACAGATCGCCAATTGCCACACCCTGCCGCCCAACAGCAGGCGTCAACGATAATTGCATCTAAAGCAATTAGTGCGATTAGTACGCTATTAGTGCCAACCATCAACAGTTGCTCCATCTATTTGTGGGTGTGCGTGTGTGTGTCTGAGTGTGTATCTCGTTAAGTTGGTTATTTCTGGGAGGCATTTGGATCTCTTTGTCTGGCAGGAGATTTTTACCAATGATGTTTAATCTGTGGTTAGCTTGTGTGCGTGGAATTTAATGCTAATTGAAACAAAGCTGTGTCGGCCCCTAAAAATGTTATTAAAGTGTCTAAGCACATATAACCAGTTTTTACTTAACTGTTTTTAACCGATCTTAATTAACGAATTTTGTATTAATTTGAATGTAATAAGACGTGTTCTTTAAGGTGATAGAAACCTGAAGCAAACATTTCTGACTTTAATGTTATTTGTACTGGATATATAATATTTTTCCTCTGAGAAAACCCGCCTTGTAACATATACAATTTTAATTAATTAAATAATAGTTCAATAAAAAATAAAGTTTATTTTTTAAAAATTCGTCCATTTCGGATCTTATAGAATATATACCGTCAGAAGCTGTGGTGAGCAGTCATCTTATAAATATAGAATTTTTAAACGAAATGTCAGTTTCACTGCTTAAACTCTTTTAAATTGTGGTACTATTATTTATAATGTTAATTTCAAAAACTATTTGCGCTAATGTGAATTTACAGTACCTCTAACGCGTTTTTGTAATGGAACTTACCTTTCCAATACAGCTTTCCCCAAGTAAGCGAAGTAAGTTTGTTAAACCATATAATCATAAATATTTCAATAGAGATAAAAAGCAGACTAGCCGCAATTATAAACCAAATATACTTCAACCAAGAACAATGGATTTTTTAGTTTTGATCTTTACCCAGATATATATTTTTGCTAACTGGAAGCATTCGAAAATATTTGATTCCGATTCTATATGGGGGAACTCAGATTAAGTTTACTTTGTCCAGTTGGAGTTGTTCTAATGTCATCTATTTTATACTTTTCCTGAAACTAATTGTAAATTCACTTTTACTTTTAACCTAGTTTTAGTATTTTTTTTTCAGTTGTCTTTGCCTTTTTGTAGTTGACCAAATTTAATTTTTGAAAAAATGTGCAAGTCTAAGGAAAATGTCGGATATAAATTGAAATCAACGCAAGAAAAGTTTTCCAACCGTTTGTCTCCATCTCCTTCAATACATACATTTTACATTTCCATCAAACTGTGTCGTCGTCAGTCCGTCAGTATGTTAGTCAGTGAGGCGCGCAAAGAGCAGAAAACATCTATGCGATAAACTCAATCTCAAATTGAATTTGAATATTACAACAGGCCAGAAGCAGAAGCAGTGGCAGGAGCGGATGCGTCCTCGAAAGAATTTTAGTATTTGAGTATTTCACTTGTGATATTTGCTTAGCGCCATTATATTACCATGATGTCGAATGTCCGACAAGCAACGCCTCCGGTTCGGGGCCATAAAAGTTGTATGCCGGCTCCGTTCGTGCATTAAATTAAATTCAGATTTAGCCAACGGCTCCTGACATTCATTGATGCTGATGCGCTGCCATCGAAGCCACTGTTGTTGTCATACCTCTCGGTGTCACTGTCGCACAGCAGTTCTCTTTGCTGCCACTTGTCACTCTCTCCCTCTCCCTCTCTCTCTCTATCTCTCTCTTCTCTTGCATTTCCTCCACATGCATGTCAAGCTGTCCTTCATGTTCCATGACACTTCTATTATGTTTTCTTTTTCAGTTCTGCTTCTTGTCGTTATATCGACTGTCGATTTGATCTCGAGTTTGCTAATCGAAGCGGATATTGCTAAAGTTGTTGTTTTTTTTTTACTTTCATGGTCCGAGTTATCTCGTTATCGGAAATCTATGATTTAAACATTAATAAGCTCAGATTCAGATAACTCTTTGAATCCAGACGATAAGCACTTAATTTTACTGAAAAACAACTCTCTCATATACAACTAAATTTGACTTTGACTTATCCCCAGTGTACTGTCGAAAATTGTCGAACTCTAGACAGTTGCCCGACACTTGCGACAAGCTGAGATCATTTTATTGCAAATTTAATCACTGTGTGCAATCAGCATAATCAAAGTCGCTCCACCGCGCAAGCTCCACCCCCCCCAAAACCACCCAACAACCATCGTCAGCATAATCATCGCTGTCGGGAGACATTAAGAACCATAATATCATCTCTAATTCATACAGTTGAGCGCGCCCTTACGTTACGTGCCGCAGCACAAAGTGTGAGCGGGAAGGGAGTAGGGGATGTGTAGGGGAGGTAGACCGCCTACCAAATTTGATAGCAGGTGCAATTATTGTTTTTGCTTGCCTAAAAAGAGCGTGTCTGCCGCTCGTTCAGTTCATTTTTTTTCGAAACTTCTTCACGCTGTTTTTACTCACACACACATATTCATTTGCCCTATCCTTACAGCTCCCCATGACTCCGACTCCCGTTACATGACCGCTGAGGAGCAGAGCCGGGAGCTGGCACGCAGCATTCGACGCGAGGTTGGCAAACTTTCCGAGCAATGGAACAATCTAATCGATAGATCTGACAATTGGAAGCATCGTTTGGATGAATACATGACGGTAAGTCTATCACGGCCTTACTTTACTTCTTCATTCACATTTTTGCTGTGTTATATTTTCATAATTTTGCATCTGGCTTTCGGGCGAATTTTCTTCCGACAATTTGAATTGACTTACTGGGCTTGGAGCCCGTGACTTTTTGCCGTTGTAATTTGTATGGCCTCCAATTTGTTTTAGCTTCAGCAGTTCAAGCATCATCTCAACTTTATTTTTTCGAGGGTCCTTTTCATGTGTCTGTGTGTGTGTGTATGTGCGTGTGTGTGTATTTCGGTGTGTGTGGGTGTGCAAGTGTCTGATTGTCTCTGTGCGTGCTCGCGTACTTTTTTGTGCAATTATATTTGCAAAGTGGAAGTGCGCTCAAACTTTTTCAGCAAGTAATTTGTAGAGAAAATCAAATCAGTGCTTCAAGTGTGGGTAGGCCTTTGATAGGAATCATAAGAAGCATAAATAATTTGTAATTTCCGAGCACGCAGATTACTACAGATGCCATTCGCAGTTCATTTGAAAATTAAAAAAGGTTAAATTTCTTTCCAGCATGTAAGAATTTAAATTTAAAATTTAAATCATTGCTATTTCATTCAATTGCCAAAAGACAACTAAATTGTGTTTTTATTCTATCATCTTACACATTTCGTTTTCTTAGCACATACGAATTGGCAAATATATATATTTTTCAATTACATTTCCATATTATGTACGTAAAACTAACCAAAAGAAAAAACAACACAGAATGTTGAAAATGTTGAATACCCTTTACTTTCGCATTGTTTGTTATAGTATTTTTGGAGTTTTCTTCTTGGCAGTTGGCAGTTTGATTGGTGTTTGGTTGGGGTTGTGGGTTGGGTTCAGCTGATGGCTAATAAATGCAAGTGTGCTTTTTACGACACATATCGTTTGGTTTGCAAAACAACGCCAGCAACAATGCGAATAACAACAAAATATTGGGCCACAAATGTGACGGGTCGGATGGCGACGGCTGTCGTTACTCATACGCACCGTAAATTTGATGCAACAAAGTTTGGCCGCATAAAAATGTCACAGAGCGTGCAAACAATGGATATACAAGTATATATACAAGGATATACAAGTATATATATATAGTAAGTATATATATATATATATATATCCATGTTCATGTATAACTCGTTGAGGGGGAGATTGTATAAAATATCAAAGCGCATAAAATGCACATATTGTGTATGCTGGTAGCATACTTTTGGGCAACCGAGCTAAGCTCAGGCAAAAATCAATACACAGCAAGCAAAAGCCAGGAAAAGCAAGCAAGAAGCAAAAGGCAACGCCATAAAACGAAACAATACGTTTCTTTTTTGTATGTGGCAGCAAGAAACAACAAGTGAACAACGGCATAGTAATATATATTTGCAACAAAGTTCGCATAAATATGACACTTGAGTGGAAAGGCAAGAGAGTTGGCTTAAGATTTCAGGCGTTAAGGGTTTAACGTGCTACGCCCTCAGGCTTCTTCTCTGTACAGTCTTGTGCTACTTTGAGGGATATTCTAATGTTTCTATATTTAGAGCCAGGCACAATCTATCTTACAAAATCCAAATCCACATCAAAACAATTCATGTTAAGCCCATCCTGCCAGCTTATATTGTTCTCGCCCGAATCCGGTTTCCCTTATTCTTTTTCTACGCGTTTTAGATACACATTTTTCGTTGGCTCTCAACGCATCAAAATTTAAATGCGTTTCAATTTAAAATTGAATATTATTTAAACTTATTCACACTCAATAAAACCATTTTTTAATCTCATTAAAACTTAAAGATTTTGATTGATTAAAGTTTGGTTCGCTCTCCTAACTTCTGCGCCTAAAATGTAGCAAAATATCCTTTACATCTTTTAAATAATAAATATTTTATTAACGCAGAAAAAAATACGTTTGAACCAAGACTAGCTCAACGTTCTGGATTTTTTTTTTTAAATTCTGCCATGCGCCTTTGGGAAAAAATAATTTTGGTTGCCATGCAGGTTGCAGCCGACGAAAAACTGATAAGGCAAACTTTAATAAAATTAACAACGTGATGGTAAAACAGAAAAATGAGCAAAATAGAATTAAAAAACTTTCTCAACAAGCTGCCAAAGTTAGTCTAGCATCGGGCGCGGGAGTTTTCGGCAGAAAAAACGTAAAAGTTTAAATAAGTGCAACTTAAAACAATTACCAGGAAACCAGCACAAAAATGGAGCAGCTTGGAGAAGCGCAAATGAAACTTTCTGTGTACTAAAATAAACGCTTTATGCAGCGCTCGACTCTGTTTAAATGGAGTCTCCCAATGGCTTGGTACACTCACACTCACATCCACACCCCTACAAGCACACACACGCGAGCCAGGCTGATGTGGGACAAAACTTTGCTAACAACTGGTTAAAATCCACCTCCCCTGAACTGACCAGAAGCAGCTCTCTCTAAGCCGCAGCGAACACTTCGGTTAATTAACCACTAAAAAATCCATCCGTGTTCTGTTCCATCTGCATAGCTCGAAGAATTTCTATAAAATCGTGCAAATTCCATTGAGTTTTCAATTTTATTTTAATTTTTTGCCTGCATTTCTGTCGAGCATGCACCAGTGGCAAGTCAAAAGAAATTAAAATAATTCACCACGTCAATGACAAGATTTGGGTTATTTGCTGTGTTAATAAAATGAAATAATTTTTTTGAAGCTACAAATGAAATTAATATTGGGCGAACACAAAGATAAAAGTTGTCTACGACAAATTTTCATGTGCCAACAAAGCTAGTCTTTAATTATGAATATATATTTATGGAGAATCACAAAGAATAGTTCAGCATTGTGGAATATGTCATTTGCAGAAGATTGTTTATATCTAAAAGTATGCCGAAAATCCAGTATATTAACGTTGACATACGCTTTCAAAGAATTTTTGAAAAAATATCTTTAAATTAAAAATCACAAAATAAAAACAATTAGTCGACTTTGCACTTAAAAAACAACAAATATACTATAATAAAACTCAAATTAGTGTGCTTAAACTATTTACATAATATAAAACAAGAATCTTAGTCGACTTAAATATAAACACATATAATACAATAATTTCAAAACAATTCCGATAATGGCCGCAAGACTTCAAAATTGTCACTAAGAAGCCACAAAATTTGCGATACATGTGTCAAGTCTTTAATCAAAATGCTGCCGATTGCCGTGCCACTTGCATGCCTGTCAATCAAATGCATCTGCAATTAGAGACGAACTTGCCACTTGCCCTGCATACAATCCACTTCACTGCATGCGAAACTTGCTGAAGACTCCGGCTCACAAATGATGCATCAGCCACATCAATGTCGTCATGTCAATGTGCCTTTTGGGGTTCACTTTAAGGCCGTAGGCTATGTGCAAAATGAAAAGTGCTCAACAAGGTCTGCACTGCAATTTGTCAAACTTGGCAGCCCAAATTCACACTGGACATCGCTATAGAACTACTCCTGGCTGATTGGTAAAAGAATGGAGGACTCTTGGCGTATTATAGAGTTGATTCCAACAAGGGTAATTACGTGAGAAATTCTATGGTGCGTGGAGAGACCACAGTCTGGAGAATCCAATTGTGTTGCCACTTAACCCAAAGCAGGCGCAATGCGCCCGTTTAAGTCGTACAAATGCGTTTAAAAGCGTTAGTTCGTCTGTTGGTCAGTTGGTGATGAGCTAGAGGGTTAGGCAACTAAAAAGTAATTGCTTTGCACTGTGAAATATATCTCATTGATTTCCTGTTAAACTGCAAAAATAGCAAAATAAATGTGGCAAAAACGCACTGAAATTGCAGAAGCCACATAGGGAGCCAACTGAATGCTTTGGGGGCCCTGACACTGCGCACATTTCTACTTGCCATAATTTAACCACATGTGGTCGATATTGACGTCGAACATATACACACACACAGTTAACTCATTTAACCCCATATGACCAGTAGACTTGGCCACAATAGCAGCTGCTGCCCTTCTTGTCATCGTTGTCCTTGAGTCCACTTGGCCTCCTGGCTACTGGCCAGCTTACCGAGAGCTTTGGTGCTGTGGTCAGTTCGGGTTTGTAAAAAATGTGGTTGCAACAACATGACTGCAGCTTGGCTTAGTTTATTATGCAGCCCATGCACAATGAAATCAATTTCGAATTTCGAAAATTCTTCAATAAATCACTCATACGCAGTGTGAATTATGTTGGTCATTCTTGAATGCTTTAATGTGTGTGATTTATGACCGCTTGATGTTTATAAATGATGTTTTAAAAACTGTGCTAACTATAATATAAAATATTTCGCAAAATGTATGTCGGACAAGCGACATTTTCAGATTTGATCATTTCTCATGCAATCCCAAAAGTATGTAACGCTTTTTTAAGATAATGTAGTCGGGAAACAAACCGCGACAAGCACATTAATATTAAAACTTTACCGATCAGAATTTAAATGCACATCAAATAACACCAATACAAAATTGATATTAACAATTAAAACAACAAAAAAGCGCGCGAAAATTAAATAGCAAAGTAGCTTTCTAACAGCGCCCATTCATCAATGCTGTCCTGTTGGCATGTTATTTCTTTAAATCAGCCAGACGCAAACAGCACACTGCAAATGATTTATTGATCACAAAATGCAGCAGACCTGTCAAAAATGCCAAAAAAGAAAAAAATAAAAAATATAAAAGCGATTGCAATTCTAAAAGAAATAGAAAAGCTTTCACAGCACACAAAACTACAAACAAAATATTTTCCGCCATCCACTTGGGAAATCAATTGATTGTCACGCTAAAATGGCTTGGCTTTTAGCTCTGGCTCTGGTTCTGGGTCTGAGTCTATTTCTGGCTATGGAATTCCGTATGTTGCTCCATGTGATTACTTTGGCTATGATTGTAACTCGGATCCAGGTGCATAAGCCACCCCAACTCCCATCCAACAGCACCCGCTATCAATTTAAGACCACACACTGCTCTCGTTGTCGTTGACTTTTTGTGCCATTTTGTAAAC